TTTGACATCACTTTGTGTCTCATCATTTTCCCTGTTTCCCATGTCTAGTAAGTCAGTTTCCCCTTTTGTCTGTGGGCCTCTCCCATGCTAAAAAGGAAGCGCTCAACACTTGCTAGAATTCACTTATTAAAATTCTCTCTCCAAGTGTTCTGGTATAAAGTCTAGGAGTAGCTGCTGAACAAATGACAGTATGTTAATTATAGCACTCAGGAGAAAAAATTGCCAGGGGGGAAAAAACTTTATTTTTAGCATTATTAGGTGAGATGGGATCTGAGAGAGAGAAAATGTTTTGAGTTTATCCGGGGAGATAGAAAGAAACAGGAAAATCAGGAAAAAATGTTGACTTTTTTAGTATTGTCCTTAAAAGATGGAGCTGCTGTCTATGATCTGAATTTGAAATGTATATTTCCCAACTCCACTCAACATTTCCAGGAGGATTGTCTCCAAAACCCAGACTCTGTATAGCTTGAGAGTGAAAATATAATAAAGGTCAGGCTGAGCTAGAGGCTCCCTTTGGTTATCTTGAAACTAAAAAAAGAGGGGCGATTATAATTCCACAAAGCGAAGATAGGAGACGTTCAATGGAAATTCCAAGGCATCTGAAGCAAATTCTACATTTATTTACACCATGTGCGATCTCATAAATCAGTGGAGAATTGATCCCTTCTCTCGAAGATCCACCTCTAAATTCCAGGTAGTTAAAGAAGAGACTCTCATAAGTCTCGACTACTCTACTCACTGAAACGCTTCAGAATTCCTCCCTCTCTCCCCCCACACCTCATTTCTTAATTAATCTGGCTTGGAGAAGCAAGTGAGTTCTGTACTTAAAAAATGTAGGGAGGTCCAGTGGCTGTTGTGGAGAAGAATCATCTGTCTGAGAAGTAGAGATAGTATAGTTGATAACAGGCTGTCTGTCACTTATCTAGGGTAATGCAGGGGAAAAGAGCCTTTGGTCACCTGAAGTGGCCCTTCATCTACCTTTTTTCTATGGCAATAGGAGCAGCGTATTCTTCTCTCTTAATTGTTTGTCTCTAGGGAGTAGCAGACAGCATGTTATCACTACTGGGGAAAGGGAGATGTAGCCAGCTCCTGGCAGTTGTCCCAGTGCAAGGCATCCTGAGAATTAAAAATGATCTTAGCACTTGGCTATGGAAAAGTGTCTGGCTGGCACCCTGTCAGTGACCTTGCCTTTTCCATTTTACTTGGGCTCATGGTTTCCCCCTCACTCCCATAAAAAAGTAGTAAGATTCTTCTTCCCACTCAATGCCAAGACCAAACTATGGTGTAATGTAATTAAGGAATAGAACCATATTTACAAATGTAACCTCTACTTTGAATGGTACTGTACATTACCAAGACATTAATTATAAGTTTGTTTCTTCACATAGCAGTGTTAAGAAAATTAATTTGTGAGGTAAATGTTTGTCATTTTTTTCCTCTCTAAGACAATGTTCAAAGGAAGAGGGTATGTTCAGAAAGCAAGGAAGACAGTTATTGTAAACGCTTCAAAACTGCTGATGAAAACAAAAAAGAGAATATTTGTACAGTGCCAGAAAAAGAGGAAAAATTTTTGGGAAAGGTAACTTGCTTTATTTTATATGCTTAAAGCTGAAATCTTTCATGCATTAAATGTTTGTTATTGTCCTGTTGAAAGTAGTTTTTATGTTAACTTCAGTATAATTGTCAACTGTGCTGAACTACTTAAGCCAAATTTTATGGATGTGAATAATTGTCTTTCTAGACAGAATTCAGATTGGTTTGAGGAAACTTAAGAACTTTAATAATTCTAAATTGGTTCCTCCATTAGGCTGGAAATTTGAAAATTATTCCTTGCCATATAAAGACAAATAAATAAAATGGATTACTTTATAAATACACCCAATTTTTGCACGTCTTAGTAGATGAAGTAACATTCATTTAAACTCAGTGTTTACTTAACTTCTTGAGTGACCTGAGAACACTTCAGATAGTGTGTTTCCTTTTTCACTTGCTAAAATAGCTTAGACAAATTGGCACAGTCCTATCTTCCAGAAGATAAAAATTGTGGTCAGAATTGATCAGAGCTGTGACTTCATTCCCATTAGAGTTGCTAACTGAAAGTTTCATCTGAGTTGTTTCATTCCTGTTTTAGTTGAATGTGTCCGTGTTAGCTGCTAGGTTTTGGTGGGCTAGAGATTTAAAGCATAGAACCTCAGATATATTAAGTTGCTCACTTTGAACTCTTGTCGACTCCCACCAAGAAAAAGTCATCTCTTGAATTTAAGTGGCTCAGACAGAACATGATAGGCCATTTATTTATTTATGTATTTATGTATTTAGACAATGAAATACCCAGAGTGAAATCATGGTTCTATCGAAGTCAGTGGAAAAAATTCCCATTGACTTCAGTGATGCCAAGATTTCACCCCAATTCTTATGGTAGACTTTCACCTGACACTTTCAGTTTCATGAAATTCAAAGAAAACAGATAAAAACTCCAGCTATTTTCATGTGTTGTCCTTTTTCAAATACCATAGGATTTCGGGACACAATCTTACATCATTGAAGTTAATTGGAACCTGCCGTTGGTTTCAGTGGAAACGGGATAGTGTTCTCTTCCTGCTAGAGAAACAGTTAGACCTTTACATGTGAAAATATGACCTCAAATGGTTGTGTTCTGCCTCTCTGCTGACTGGGAGTAGCTGAACTCTTCTCAGGAATGGTACAGAACACACAAAAGAAAAATAGAGACTGCCTGAGATTTTTGGGTATGAACCTGAGAATAGAGAGAATATGAATGAAAATGTTGTTGGTTTGTACGAATTAATTTGTGAAAGCGACAAAGTTGTGTCTGGAAAACTGACTGAGGAGCACTTTGCCTTGCTAGTGTGATGTAACATAATGGTGAAAGCAAGGAAAGCTGCTTCTAATGGCAAAAGCTTGAAAACCTTGAGCTTTCTGTAACATTTGTTTCTCCACATAACTAAACGACATGAGACATTGCTGGTGGAATTCTCGTTTCTAACTGTTCTAATCAGGGTGGATAAAAATCAATGATTTAAAAAAAAATCCAATTTTTTTATTTAAATAGTTTTTTCCCCTTCAAAAAGCATTTTATCAAAAAAATCTGATCTAAAGATAGTTTTAATTAAGATACATTATAGCTCAAAGATATCTCATCATGGTATGAGACAGCATATTATAAATTCTAATTCTATAGTATGAGACAATATATTCATGTAATGTTTAAGAAAAGTTTTGTAAATGAGTTCCAAAAGTTCATGGATTAGGGACCCAATCTTATGGAGTTCCACAGGCTTCTGTATAAATTATTTAGGTTAATCTTTCTATCTACCCAATGGGACTCAGTGCTCTATCTAGAAGATACCATCAGAGATGCTTAGTTTTGCAGTTTTCAAACTGTGAATTTGTGTCTCCAGAGGTAACATGCTTGTTAGCAGCAAAAATATTTTTAAATAAATAAATAATATATAGAAGTGAGAAATAACAGACCTCAACTCTATTGTCCCTCTGCAAATTTGTGTACACAGAGTCAGTCACTTACCTCTCTCAAAAGTGCAAAGTTTCAAAAAGTTCAATGAATAGAAGATTATTGGGATTGGAATAGATGTGGACAAGGAGAAGAAGTCTTGAGATAAATGTGAGAAGTGAGGGACATGTGTTTGTTTTGTTAAAATATTATATGTTTGCTATTGAAGAAAAAAATCCAGAATACTTAACGTTGTTGTTTTAGTTAAATAAAACAATTTAAATGTCTGTCTGGTGATGTTCTTCTCCTAATGCAGAATGGCAAGAAAATCCTCCAAATATTAATGATTAACCTGTTGAATTGGAGATAGTTCACCTCCCAATGACTTCATAAATATCTGCTTCAATTTCAAAATAAATCACTGTTTAAAAATGTATAGTGTGTACCTTCTAAAAATGAAACCTACATCTATCTCTGAGTTGTAATATGTAATAAGGTTATAACAACCAACAAGAATGCAGTTTTATGTAGAAACCATGATTAAATTGAGTCTTCCTGACTAGTGATTTAAATCAATTTGTTTTAAATCAAATCCACTCTGGTTATAATCGTAACTGGAAAATGAAAATGCAAAGATACCTTATTGCTTATGACACTGCATATTAAGCTTTGAAATCTGAAACTGAAAAGGCTTCCACGAAACTATACTTCCTGTCTGAATCTAGTGAATTGATCAAAACATTTTAAACCACCTATGTTTGACACTACTGAAAATGGACTCAGCTGAAAGCTAAGTGGTTACAAAACAAATTGTTTGCTTGATGCTGTACACAGGTCTGCTGGAAGATGAAATACAGTGTAATGACAATTATTTCCTGCATGACAAGGCTGTGTCTGAGACATGTCACCACCTGGTACCAAGCCTTAACTCCAAATCCTTAAGAACATAATTTACATTACAGATACAGAACTTCTTAAATATTATCTGTACATACATTTTGGAAAGATTATAATGACTAATGGGCTATTGGCTTTTGGTAGAAACATCACATGCCACCCTTTGGTGAACAGCTATTCATATATCTGACACTGCAGATACCAGGAAAACCCTGTGCACCCTGCCAGTTGGCACCAAGAGGTCCTTGGGTCACAGCAGCAAAAGTGCAGAATAAGTTAATACTATCCAAAGGGACTAAGGGAAACAAAACTTAATGTTGTGGTTATGTTCCTGAAAAATGTGACTTAAACAAAACAATATTAAGCGAATCCAATTTCCCCATAAGAATTAATGTAAATAGGGGAGGTTAGGTTCCAGGGAAATTTTTTTCACCAGACAAAAAACTATATATTATATAGATGTACACACAGTATACGTTTTAAACAAACAATTTAATACTGTTCACAGCTATGATGATTGTGAAGCTTGGTTGAGGTGGTGAAGTTAGAGGGTGGAAGAGGGTGGGATATTTCCCAGGGAATGTCTTGCTGCTAAATCAGTGGTTCTCAAACTTTTGTACTGGTGACTTCTTTCACATAGCAAGCCTCTGAGTGCGACCCCCCCACCCATATACATTAAAAATACTTTTTTATATATATTAATACCATTATAAATGCTGGAGGCAAAGCAGGGATTGGGGTGGAGGCTTACAGCTCATGACCCCCCATGTAATAACCTCGTGACCCTCTGAGGGGTCCCAACCCCCAGTTTGAGAACACCTGTGCTAATTGATGAACTAGCATTCTGCTGAGCCCTAAAGGGTAAACACGTTTTTAATGTAGCCTCTCACTCTACAAGACAGCAGGAATGGAGGGGAAGGGAGATAGCATTGCAGACAGAGACACACCTTGTATGTGGGAGAGAGAGAGAGAGAAATGCACACTGCCCCTTTAAGTAAGCTGACCCACTGTTAAATGCATTGTCTTTTTAAGTGGATCAGGAAGTTGAGACAGCAGCTGCTGCCCCAGGCTCTCTCTGTCTCTCTCCATCAGTGTCCCCACCCTGCTCTATCTGGAGAACGGGTAAGCAGGGTGTAGGAGCGGGGGGGAGGGGCACCCCCTGACATTAGCTCCCCTTCCCTTCCCTCCCCCCCCCGGAAACGCAAGCAGGAGGCTCGGGGAGCAGCTCCAAGGCAGAGGGCAGGAGCAGCACATGGCAGTGGGGGGAGGGATAGCTGCAATTGCTAGGCTGCTGAGCGGCTGCAGCACAGGGAACTTAGAGGAGCGGGGAGCTGATAGGTGGGCTGGTAGTCTACCCTGGTTCCAAGCCCCCACCAGCTAGCTGCAACAGGCTGCTCTTCCTGCAAGCAGTGGACAAAGCAGGCGGCTGCCAAATGATGTTATAAGGGAGCATTGCGCAACTTTACACGAGCACGTTCCCTAATTGATCAGCAACGTAACAAAACAACGTTAACCGGGACGGCTTTAAGTGAGGAGTTACTGTATTAGAATCATGTCAAGGAACAAATAAATTCTAAAGGAATAAGTAGACTTCTTAATAAACAGGAGATAAAATTAATGACTGAGAAATGGAATTCCTTTTTCTTATCTGACTGCAACAAGATGATTTAGAGTTTGGACAATTAAGTTAGGATATTAACGCTCTAATTCAGTAAAGCGGTTCCATTGACTTCAAGTTAAGCTTTTCTGATTCTGGGCCTAAAACAGCTGTTTGATAAAGATCTGCTAAGAAAATCAGCATTTACAGTAAGAAGTTCATCCTTGAATGTTAAAGGAACTTTCCAAACCAATTGCAATAGAATAGTTGAAAAGGGAGGGAGGAATTGGCAGGACTGCAAGAAAAGCAGAAGTGATTCAGTACAGATCTTAAAGAAAAAGAGTAATTCTGGCTTGTCTGGTAAAAATCTGGTACTTACTTACAAGCCCGTGCTGATACTAAGTCATAAAATTAGTATCAGCACGGGCTTGTAACAGATTTTTGCCAGGCAAGCTTCATTGCTTTCTTACGTTTTTATAAAGTTTAGGGGTTTTTTACCCTACCTTACTGATGCATGCTGTCAGCTTTAACCCTGTTTTAATGTATTTTTTTTTGTCCTGGAATAGAATATCAAGGAGAGATTTAAATCTCTCTTTCTTTCTCTCTGCTGTATTGTCACTTATCTGTTGTGACTACTGCATGTGTTTAGGATGTTAATAATGAATTTACAATTTGGTAATAGCAAGAAAAACAAATGTTTAATTTGTCGTCGTAAATATAGTGACTTACTCTCTGCACAAATTTGATTCAGGTAACATACTCAGGCCAAGTCTACACTAGAAACTTTTTGTCACTGTAATAATGTCAGTGTAATTTTTTTAGTGTGTTGCTGGTATAGAAATGTCATTAGTGTGTACGCAGTTATACTGGCATAAAAGTTGTTTTGCCAGCATAACATTTTGTTAGTGGAAGCTGTAAATTGTATCAGCAAAAGCATTTTTTTCTGTTATAAACCTCTTCTACACTAGAAATGTTTACCAGAATAGCCGTACCAGCAAACCTCTTTAGTGTAAACCTGGCCTTATCTAAGCTAATATAATGTAAAATGTGTAGTTGTGGGGGAAAGGCTTGTTTCCCAGGAATACAATCTTCACTCACTGAGCAGTATCAATTCTCTTTACCCAACAACAACAACAGCAGCAGCAACAGCCCCTCAGCACTTTTGATCCTCAACCCACAAAAAGGGGGGGGGGAAATCCTATTATGACCCAAATATGATGGTCTATTGCACTACAAAAAAACAATTTGAGAACTATTCTTCTAGATCCATGTAAGATTCAACTATAACCATGGCTATCTCTGAACTAGAGAAATATTTACAATATGTTACCATTACCACATTGAGAATCATTAATTTTGTATAAACCGTATCTTAAGATTCAGAAGGCATGATTGTCCTTGCAAACAGTTGACTTGCACTAGACTGGGTGAGCTATAAGGGAGGGGGAATGCCAAAGCACAAAATACTACATTTTACAAATTACATTTATAATTCATAGAAGATTGGTGAATCAGTTAAATTTATAAATATTTTTAAAAATAAAACTGTTAAAATAAAAAATAATAATTTATTTGTATATTTTCATTACCTCAGCAATGAATGATTTCTAGATTTGAAATGTAGCTTTTTTTTTTCCATTATAGGTCAAACACTTGATTCAAAAGCGTGTGGATATTTTAAATAATGATGTCTTTAACCATAAACTGGAAAGTTTAAATGGAAGAGTTGATCAAACACAATGTCGAAAAAAACATGAAGAAATAGCTATTACATTTCTAGTAAGTTTCTTTGCATTGTGCGTATCCTAAAAGTGTGAATTTATTTGTTGCTGAAGATCTTAAATTTTCAGAATTGCACCTACATTGTGTGCATAACTTGCCCTGGAATTGCTTACACTGGCATGAAGATTACACTTCTGTTCGTTCATAGAAAAATATGAATTGGAGGCTGCACGTTTTGTTACTTTTTTATTTTATGGCACGCAAATCTCAGTTGCAGTTTGGGGGTGTTTTGCTACTGCTTATCATATGTGCAGAGTAGGAAATATATAAATGTGTGTACTATTTCAGGTTAACACTTAGTGATGCTCTTTTTTCTTTCCTTGTAGAAGAAAGTGTCTAAGCTTGAGAGACGTATTAATACTGTGATAGCATTTCAGAAGAAAATATTATCGAAAATGGTCACTAGTAAGGTATAGTATAATACGTAATACTTCAACGTAGGGATTCTATTAGCAATTAGTCATGAACTCATGGGCAGTTACAAACAATTTATACTAAATACGTGCAAGATGAAAACGTAACAAAATAGATTTGGAGGAGATTGTATTGTATTGGTATTATGTTACACAATAGCAACTCAGAGAAAAACCTGAACTCCTACAGACACCTGGTACTGGGACTCAAAAAATGTTAAAAGAATTTTATTTACTTGCAATTGAGTTGTTACATTGAGAAGTTTTGTTTTTCAGTAGAATAAAATACAATTATTTTTTTCTTTTGTATCGCTTCAGAGGTCATAGGTAAGCAGCCTCTATTCTGACAGGAGGAGCAGCCTCTGAGGTATCAGCTGACATCCCTTCCCATAGATGATTGAGTACTTTAGACCCTCAATAGTATAGTCAATAAAACACAAGCATTTCACTTGGAGATCTGGATACGATACTGCCAGAATGATAGCCTAAGAAAATGTCAGGTATGGGGATTTTTGCTTCCTCATGGACAACATCTCTTGGCATAAAATTGAAGATTTGTTGGCCAAGAAAACCCACGATTTAGACTTGTGCCAAGCTTTGTGTAAACCTGCTTGGGATGCTAATTCAGACAGTTTTCAGGGGTGGCTTGAGATCCCTTAGCAGGCTTTTAAAGTTAAGGGTGGGTGCAAGCTCTTTAGCTAGTGTAAATTGTCATAGCTTCATTGACTGCAGTGGGGCTATGACAGTTTAAAACAGATGAGGATTTGTCCCAAGGATTTGAGTAAAGATTGTAGGACTAGTCAAATGTACCTGAGCCATAGTTATTTTTTCTTTGATAAAACAATTGGCTTTTTATCTAAATGTATAAACTTTATGCAATGAGAAATGTTAAAAATCATGGTTTAAAGGTCTCATTGCAGAAATATCTTACTCTGCTTCTCGGTTGTGTTTTTCTGAAAAAGTTTCAGAAACTGTTTTGTTACACAATGGTATTCTAGAAAAATGTAACTCAGATTAAATATTATATACAAATAAAAAAACTTCCTTAATGCCAAATGCTTACCACTTAGCAAAATAGTTTGTGTGATGCTGAAGATTTTTGCTAAACTTTGGGAAGAAGGGAATAGCAAATATCACTTTTTTTTTTCCTTTGCTTTATATTGACTCTCTGTATGATGCATCTTTTAGGAAATCACATTCATTTTTAGGGAAAATGTGCTTGTGTAAAAGGAAAAGGTCTGGTTTCTGAAACCAACTCTGGGTCCAAGTCTACATTTCTTCCACATGCAAAAGTCTAATTTAAGTAAGAATTGTTTGTACATTGAATATAAGATTTCACCCTTATTGTAAATATTCCAATGTGTTGTAAAACTGGTTTTATGTCTGTGTGATGGGGCGTCTGCCCCACACTGGCAGAAAAGAGGTTAAAAGCAGCCCTAGGGACGCTGCGCATCACAGACAGGCTTATAAGAACAGCCAATCGGGGCCAGGCTGGCCCATATAAGGAGGGCTGCAGAACAGAACAGTTTTTCAGTCACTCCCTGGAGCTTGAGAAGGGAGGAGGACTGGCTGCCTTGCAGGCAGAGGGCAGCAAGCACCCTGGACAGAGCAGTGCTGCAGGCAGAGAGCTAAAGGCAGCTCTTGGCAGGCTGCAAGGATCTGCAGTCTGAGGCCCTGATGCAAGGGCAAAGAGGGTGCTGGAGCCACATGGGAAGTGGCTAGACTGTGGATTGCAGTTTGCCACAGAAGGGAGTGGCCGGACAGTAGACTGCAGGACCCCCAGAAGTGGGGGAGCATAGAGTGTAGCACAGCCAGAGGGCAGTGTCACTGAGGAGGCACCGCAGTGGTGAGTTGCACCACATCACAGTGGCATTTTTTACATTCTTCAGGCAGAGAGGGAAATCATCATTTACAAGTAAGGTACTTATGAGTGATTACTGAAGATTACAGCAGATAACTTCTTCAAACCAAATTATTATTAGATGCTATACCTTACTGAGGTCAGCTATTCAAACATAGCATAAGACCGGATGTGCAAATAATGTAATGTTAATTGGAAAAGTTCATGTACAGTGAAGTAGTGTTTCTGTACTGACTTAACGTTCAGTGGGTGTAAGAAACAAGTGACTCTACACAACAAGAGAGTTTAGCAGGAAAATAGCAAAACTGGTAGTAATGGATACTGAAAATCTGACTTCTTACATTCTCCTGATAGATGAATTGTCTGCTGCTACTCCATGCTTATATCCCTACTACATTTGACCTAGATTGTTTTTCTCTAATTAACTAAAAGAACCAATGTGTTTAATAGAACTTAGGCCCAGAATATGTTTAAGTGTTTGCTCTGAAGACAATGGAATGTTTAGGTTGGGGAAAGAAATGAGTGCTTTGCTTGTGTGAGCTACTAACACACAGTGGCAGGGTGTGGAGAGTGATGAAAGGTGACATCATCCAACGATAAGATGACAGTTATCACTCAGTCCCCATGGCAGAGAGTGGGAAGTATTCAGGAAGAAGGTTGTAATTCTATTTTTGTGTGTGTGTGTCTGCGTGCCCTCAATGTCTGGTCTACAAGGGCAGTTTTGAGATTCATACAAGCTCAAAATTGGCGATAGTGGAACTAACTATTTCTCACAGAATAAGAAGGGATTGGTAGGTTTTGTGTGGTTTAGATATTTGACAGTCATGTTAATTTATTATTTAATTTTAATTTCCTATCCGTGTCTCTTCCATTTAATAGCTGTTTGTGTCTAGTGAATCTGTAAATAGTAATCTCTTGTTATTGTAAAGATAGGCCCTGGTTTAACAATTACATATATAATGTAAATTATGGAGAGGAGGGGGAGGTTAAAAAGGCACAAATCACCCAGAGGCAAAAAATGCCATCTGTTGCTCTGAAAACAAGGTGTGCATGAAATCCAGGACATCTGACTAACTCAGCACTGGTTTTGGACACGAACGACTTTGCCATGACTTGTGACTTTTCTTTTTCTCAGGCAAATCTTCCAGGTGCAAACTCGCAAAATGCGATACTTAATCGAACCAAATCTGTTCCACCACTTCCTGATAACATAAATGGACAATCAGTTTCTTCAGTTAAACATTTATCATCATCCCATAGACAAACTGGTTCCACTTCTGAATCTGTTGCAGAAGAAAATGTAAGGTAGGTGTCTATAATGACCACACAAAAAAAATCAATAAATATAACCCACAAATTCTGTATAGTTGGAAGAATCTACTTTTTTCTTCAAATTTTACTTTTCCTAAAGGTGCTAGATTGGTTTAGTAATTGGGTCATCCATATATAGATTAAACTGAATTATTGTCTATATGCCCTTACTTTTGCTGTGCTTGTTCCTTCAGTCCATATATCCATAACGAATGAGTTTGACAGGTACAGCAACTTTTATTCTCTTAGGGATCAATCCTGCTTGCCTGTCTTTTGTGGGTTTTTTCTGTAGTGTTGGTTATAGCTAGTATGTGCATTTGTAAACTCCAAAAATCTGCAGAATGATGGCAGGCAAAATGTGAAACCAACTGAATAAGTATTATTTTAAATCTCTGGTGTAGAGCAGATCCACTTCTCACTGTCCAATTGAAGACCGATAGTACTGCCCTTAGATTTTAAAGAAAGATTGGATGAGAGCTTTGAGGGTTCTGCTTTGACTACTAATTTAAGAGGTAACGGTTATATTTTGGTATTTTCTAGTAAGTGCCTCTACTATTCTTAAATTTCTCAAGGCAATCTCACATATTTGACTCATTCTCATTGAAGACTCTAAATTCTGAGTAGACTTAGTTTAATGGATGTCAATAGTATAGATTCCTGTGGTTTTCTTATCAAGGGCCTGATCCTCCTTCCATTGAAAACACACACTACACCCATTTCTTAATTTCCATGTCGGCAAATGACTAGGTCTCCAGTCCATAACGTTTTTCCAAGAAAAACAGGATAGTGAAGATCTTGCTTATATACAAAAAGGATACTCCTGGGGGAATTCTGTACCAAAAAAATTAAAAATTCTGCACTCAGTATTTTAAAATTTTGCATATTTTATTTGTCAAACTAACACAGTATAATCACACAAGTCTCAATTATTTTTGGTCATTTATTTTAAAATACGTGTCAGCAAGTATGTCTGTAACAATACAGACAACAAAAAAAGATTCAGGAAATGTTTTTTGACAAATAAATTCCTTACTAGACATAATAATACAGAACTCTGAGTAATTCATTTAAACTACAATACAGACCCTTATTTCCCGCACTCCTCAGAAGCAGTGCAAAGGCTTGGGGGAGTCAGGGGTAACAGAGGAACTGAGGGAGAGGGAAGTAAATTGCTGGGAAGGAGCCTGGGTGTGAACTTGGAGGGTTGTTGGGTATGGGTGAAAAAAGTACGGAACAGGTTTTCTTGGGGGGGGCAGGGAGGGAGTGTTAAGAAGCTTCTCCCAGGCAGACCCTGGCTGACCCCTAGCCTCTGCCATTCAGTCATGTGTTTCTGCACCCCCATGTGCTCTTACATCCCCTGTCCACATGTGTCCGTCCACCACCACTCAGACTCCCCATCCCCATGTATCCCTGTACCCTCTCCCCCGCCCCATGTGTCTCTGTGCCCCCAACCAGTCACTTCACTGTCCCTGTATAGTTCTGCACCCCCTCCCTCATCACCATGTGGCCCTGCACCTCCCGGTTGTGATGAATTACTGCAGAACAGTGGGTTAAAGCTTTAGGAAGGGTAGATTAATCTTTTGTCTTGTCTTTCTTGGGTCCACCAGTCCAAAAGTCTGCCTTATAAACTTTAGTTTTTGGTAACTAGGAAAGCCCTTTTCATGGGAAAATGAGGGTCAGTGGGGCCTCTTCTTCCAGAGGGGCAGCAGTAATTAGCTGGCTACATTTTCACTGTGTGTTGGATACAAACAGAATCAACCAGACATTTTGAACTGGAGGACTTGAAACAGAGATGTGAAGTTCCAGTTGAAAATTTTAAGATATCTTACATTTGACATTGAGTTTCTGTGCTTGTAGTTTTAGAAAGTCTTTGCATCGATCAGGAATTTTTTCCTGTTTTGCGATCTCTGCTATAATTTGAGTACATTGGTGTCTTTTAATATATGGCAATTAATGTACGTGCATTGGACGTGGGCAGATATATGCTGCATCCAAAACTTTAATTTTCTATGCACAATAATTTTGTTCTTTACTGGTCTGCTACTTGATTTTTATATCTATCTACACCTCCTGTGTAGTTATCAGAGTGTTTTGTGGCATATCTGCTGCGTGAAATTCATGTATGATATACATAGTGAAGGAACAACTAATAAGCTAATGTAGCAGTTCACATCTTTCTTCATAATTAGAGCTAGGAGAATAATAAAAATACTTGAAATGTTTTTTCTGAAATTCACAAAATTAGTATCTGTTCATGTAACATTTGCCCAGCTGTATAAGCCAGGAAATAATGGTGAAGGGGTTGGAGGAGTCAGTAGTCCTGAAATAATCAAATTTATTCTAAAATTCAGCAATCTCTAGCTATCATGTCAGGGGGGATTATAAATGTTCTGTTAGTCATGAATCTTTCTATAAGGTTCTGTTAGATCAATAAGAACCGAAACTACTATATTAACTTGTTTCTAGTCTTTCGCTTGTGAAAATAACCATTTTAAAAGTAAATTGCTGCTCTGGCCAGGTTTTTTAAATATATGGCACCTTATTACAATTTATTTTGAATTTCTGTGTTGTAGAATGTATATAACATATACACCTACTTTTCAGTAGTTCAATATGTAATTTTAAAAAACTTTGGTTAAGCTTCTGAAAATGCATACACAGATATTGTATTTACATTGTGTGGATAGTTTTGTAGGTAGACGTTTTGACTTTTGCCCACTAGCTTTTGGGGATTCTCATATCTTAAAAAATTAAATATTACTGTGACTATATCTGCCATAGTACATACCCAGAGTTTTTACCTCCTCTCTCAAGCAGGCAGGCAGGCTTAATGGCCAGCTTATATTACACTTACCCCCTTTGAGCTCCCAGGTTGATTCCTGACTCTCATGGAATTGAAAGACATTTGGCCTCATATATTTGCTGCCTTGTCTCTTCAAGCAGCATGAATTTGGAGACTATAAAATTTTGTTACGAAAACCTCCACTTTCTGCAATACAGAGTAGGGTGTCCAGATGTCCCGCTATTAAGGGCTTTGTCATATATAGGCAACAATTTTTCATACTTGCTATCTGGTCACCCATATTACAGAGTGCTGTGTTTCCAGTACAGAGGACACATTCTGTGTGTACTGTGAGCCTTCTTTGCTCTTGCTGCATGTCATATGCCATAGTGCTGCAGTTTGAAACACTGTGGCACATGATTGGAAATAGCTCAGGCATAAGAGGACAGAGGTGTTTGGACACTGGGGCAGATTCTCCTGAATAGCCCATCCGTTGCTTCCTGAAGCCAGTACTTCATGAAAACACGGACAAGTAGGATGTAGACTGATTTCTGAAGATTGCTAAAGCCAGAGAGAAGCTCCCTGTGAGTCTCCTCATAATTATACTTTTACGGCATTTAGTGGCTTATTTGCAGTATTCCATAAAGCCCTTCCTAGGAAGCCTCTGTATGAAGGCTAAGCCTTGTTCATGTCCTCTTTAGCTTTCTTGTCACCCTTGGTCTCTTAGAGAAGGACAAAGTCTGTCTCATTATAGTGCCTCCACCTGAGTCAGCAAGAAGGGTTATCATGAGGACTGGGAATAACTGATGTCATATTGACTTGGTTTGAGATTATACCAAATAATTTGGATACTAATGGGTTGCCTTTGTTCTTAGGACTGGAAAGCCAAGAAACTACTTTTTGGGGGGGGGATCATCTGTTGGTCCAAATAAACATAAAAAGAGTTTGCATGTCCGCAGACTTGAAGCTGGCTTCCACAAAGACAACTGGTTTGTCTCCTAAAATTAGGTGTGAGGATAACGGTATTAATTTAGGAACAGAGCCAAGGAGCTTTGAGATATTTGACCAAATGACCTTCAGCCCCAGATTGAGGATATTGTGACCCTTGTTGCTATTTTTTGAAAGAAAAAATGGCTTTATGATTTTTATGGGTTTTAAGAAATTTTGAAAGACAAACTTCTAACTAAAACTATTACAAATCTTAACTAAGTTTAAACAACACAGTTATCAAATCAAAATCATAAGTGGAATTTGGTTTAATAAATTTCCAGTAATATGGAACGGAATCAACAATTGATTATATTATTGCATTAACACCATCAGTCAAAACTTGAATAATGAAGTTACCATAACATAAGAACATAAGAAAGGCCGTACCGGGTCAGACAAAAGGTCCATCTAGCCCAGTATCCTGTCTATCGACAGTGGCCAATGCCAGGTGCCCCACAGGGAGTGAACCTAACAGGCAATGATCAAGTGATCTCTCTCCTGCCATCCATCTCCACCTTCTGACAGACAGAGGCTAGGGACCCCATTCCTTACCCGTCCTGGCTAATAGCCATTAATGGACTTAACCACCATGAATTTATCCAGTTCTCTTTTAAACTCTGTTATAGTCCTAGCCTTCACACCCTCCTCAGGTAAGGAGTTCCACAAGTTGACTGTGTGCTGCGTGAAGAAGAACTTCCTTTTATTTGTTTTAAACCTGCTGCCTATTAATTTCATTTGATGACCCCTAGTTCTTGTATTATGGGAATAAGTAAATAACTTTTCCTTATTCACTTTCTCCATATCACTCATGATTTTATATACCTCTTTCATATCCCCCCTTAGTCTCCTCTTTTCCAAGCTGAAAAGTCCTAGCCTCCTTAATCTCTCCTCATATGGGACCCATTCCAAACCCCTAATCATTTTAGTTGCCCTTCTCTGAACCTTTTCTAGTGCCAGTATATCTTTTTTGAGATGAGGAGACCACATCTGTACGCAGTATTCAAGATGTGGGCATACCATTGATTTATATAAGGGCAATAATATATTCTCTGTCTTATTCTCTATCCCCTTTTGAATGATTCCTAACATCCTGTTTGCTTTTTTGACCGCCTCTGCACACTGCGTGGACATTTTCAGAGAACTATCCACGATGACTCAAAGATCTTTTTCCTGACTCGTTGTAGCTAAATTAGCCCCCATCATATTGTATGTATAGTTGGGGTTATTTTTTCCAATGTGCATTACTTTACATTTATCCACATTAAATTTCATTTGCCATTTTGTTGCCCAATCGCTTAGTTTTGTGAGATC